CCAACCCCAGACGGGCAGAGCCACCCTAACGTTGCCGGGAAGATCGTTTCCGGGATGGAGGAGGGGGTCGACCCCGCCAACGGCTTGACGAGGCTAGGGCTGGAGCAGGCGCGCACGGCCGGCAAGGAGCTGAAGGAGGTACTGCTTGGGGCGGGCTGCTCGCCGGCGAACACGATGGTGAGCAGCGCTGCTGATGTGTTCATTGCTTGGCTTCCTGGTGCGCGGTTCTCGAACAGATGTCCCGCCTCCTTACCCCCTCCTCCCCCCGTCCTCGACAGAAGCGTTCGCTATTTGTGGGTAGTAGACGTAGTGGTGTTAAGGGGTGCAGTTTTTTCGTTTTGGTGTTGTTGTTGTTGTTGTTGTTGTTGTTGTTGTTGTTGTTGTTGTTGTTGTTGTTGTTGTTGTTGTTGTTGTTGTTGTTGTTGTTGTTATTGTCGCGTTGAAGGCCACTTCCGACCTCTGCGTCCAGTAGTGCATCTACCCTCCCCCTCCCAGGTTGCTGTCGCCCCATCGAAGACCGTTTCCACCTCTGCCGTACATTCTAGTACCTGCTCGCCCGACTACACACCCGACCTGTCAGGCACTAGCGAGCCCAAAGACAACATGCTCCTACCAAAATTGAAGGTGCCTCGTTTTTGTCTCGGCAGGTGGTGACGTCACCGTTCTCGAGAGCAAAGGAAACGGCAGGGGCAATCCGAGCGTGTCTGGACTGCGACCTCCGGGAAGAAAGGTTCGTTTTTATATATTTTTTGGCATTCTGTTTGTGTCCTCTTGTCTTCGGATATCGTCAGTGTTCTTCTTTTGTTGTGTCTGTGAGGTTGGAGAAAGAAAGAGAGACGTTCCAAAGAATGATGCGTTAATTCTAACTGGCATCCATTCTTTTAACTACCTAGAAGGATCCAATAGATTTGTCTGAGTGCCCTCTCGGGTGGGCGTTCCTCTTGCGGCGGTCACCTGGCATTTAGTTTTACCCAAAGATTCCCTACATGTATATAGGAATGTGCCCTTTTTTCGGATGGACCATGTAGCTCTTTCGCTGTGTGTGGGAGACATGCCACAGCCTGCCGGTGGTCGACGAATTTGAGGGTCCTGTGCGAACGAAGAATAACGGCGAGGAGATAAAAGACGACGACGACAATCTCTGCGTGATGAGAATGGAAAGAAAAGGTCGAGCGCACAAGCTCTATTGCTCTGGCCTGTGTGATAATTGTCTGATTTGTCTGTCGGTTGGCTGTTGAATTGATCTCTGCGTTAGTTTCGCCCTTGGTCTTTCAAGCTACAGTAGAGGCATTTTTCATTTCAAGTCTGTAGCCAGGCTGTTACATACCCCGGCAGACGAACGCTGTCTTTTGAACCACGTACAGAACAGGCCACCGCGTCATCTTCATAGAAAGAATGAGCGCACGCTACCTTTCGCTGCCTTCTTTGATACGGCTCCGGGGTATGTGGTGTGTGCCATGAGATACTGAATATAATTAAATGTCTTTCTTTTTCTACTCTAGTCCCCCCCCTGTCTCTGTCCCGTTGTCTCGCTTAGCTCTGACTCACCGCCCCCTCTCCCTTTCGCGTGCCCCCCTCTCCACCCCTTCGCCCTTTTGCGTCACCCCCCCTCCCCCGTCCGCCCCGACTTCAGAGATCTCCGAGAGCGCTACTTCGGAGAACTTGACGGCCGCGAGGATCACGCCAGCTACGCCAAGGTCTGGGCCCTCGACGCCGTCAGCGCCCGCCATGGGGAACTCGGGGTGGAGCCAGCTGCCCAGGCAAGAACAATAGCACATCGCTCCAATCGCAAGTAGGCGTGCAGCGGCAGCCCCATAATCACATGTGAGGAGAATGTCACGCACTCAAGCAAGTAGGCGCGCGGAAGCCCCATCACACAAGCGAGGAGAGGTGGATGTTGCTGTGCCGAAGCGAATGCTACACGGGGACCGCCGTCGCAGCCGTCAATTTACCAGAAACATGCATTGGCTTGGTTGCTCTACATCATGTTTTTGTTTGTTTGTGTGGTTATCTTTGCTATTGTTGTCGTTCGCGGTTTCACCCTACGCGGTGACATGACTAGCGTCTTTACAGTGGTCAGCCTGTTATGGCCGTCGACACTTGACTAAGTACACAAAAAGTTCGGATAGAAAGCAACCCGGTACAAGGCAATGATGCTAGCATGGGGGAAACAGATGATGCAGCAACGCACGCTGCTTGGTGAAATTGAGTCTTCTCCTTGGAATCCAGGGACAGGACACTACTATTGTAGTCCAACTCCTGCGCCGATGTCGGTTGAGACCTTCGAGTAGAAATCGTGTTCGCGTTTGTTTTTCCCGCTATTAGACTGGCGTCAAGTCGTTGGCCAGCCTCAGATAGCGCGGCCGATTGGCAATAAAACACACACACACACACACACACACAACACACACACACACACACACACACACCGGGTATTTGATCCGGGGAATAGGTTAGTCTCCCCCATGCCCCTCACGGGGTCCCAGTTAATGGCATTTGGAAGTGTTTGGTGTTTTCAACCGCACTGAGACTGACGTCTTTTCATTGGTCAGCCGGTTAGCGCGGTCGATGCTAATAATAAAAACACACACACACACACACACACACACCGGGTATTTGATCCGGGGAATAGGTTAGTCTCCCCCATGCCCCTCACGGGGTCCCAGTTAATGGCATTTGGAAGTGTTTGGTGTTTTCAACCGCACTGAGACTGACGTCTTTTCATTGGTCAGCCGGTTAGCGCGGTCGATGCTAATAATAAAAACACACACACACACACACACACACACCGGGTATTTGATCCGGGGAATAGGTTAGTCTCCCCCATGCCCCTCACGGGGTCCCAGTTAATGGCATTTGGAAGTGTTTGGTGTTTTCAACCGCACTGAGACTGACGTCTTTTCATTGGTCAGCCGGTTAGCGCGGTCGATGCTAATAATAAAAACACACACACACACACACACACACACCGGGTATTTGATCCGGGGAATAGGTTAGTCTCCCCCATGCCCCTCACGGGGTCCCAGTTAATGGCATTTGGAAGTGTTTGGTGTTTTCAACCGCACTGAGACTGACGTCTTTTCATTGGTCAGCCGGTTAGCGCGGTCGATGCTAATAATAAAAACACACACACACACACACACACACACCGGGTATTTGATCCGGGGAATAGGTTAGTCTCCCCCATGCCCCTCACGGGGTCCCAGTTAATGGCATTTGGAAGTGTTTGGTGTTTTCAACCGCACTGAGACTGACGTCTTTTCATTGGTCAGCCGGTTAGCGCGGTCGATGCTAATAATAAAAACACACACACACACACACACACACACCGGGTATTTGATCCGGGGAATAGGTTAGTCTCCCCCATGCCCCTCACGGGGTCCCAGTTAATGGCATTTGGAAGTGTTTGGTGTTTTCAACCGCACTGAGACTGACGTCTTTTCATTGGTCAGCCGGTTAGCGCGGTCGATGCTAATAATAAAAACACACACACACACACACACACACACCGGGTATTTGATCCGGGGAATAGGTTAGTCTCCCCCATGCCCCTCACGGGGTCCCAGTTAATGGCATTTGGAAGTGTTTGGTGTTTTCAACCGCACTGAGACTGACGTCTTTTCATTGGTCAGCCGGTTAGCGCGGTCGATGCTAATAATAAAAACACACACACACACACACACACACACCGGGTATTTGATCCGGGGAATAGGTTAGTCTCCCCCATGCCCCTCACGGGGTCCCAGTTAATGGCATTTGGAAGTGTTTGGTGTTTTCAACCGCACTGAGACTGACGTCTTTTCATTGGTCAGCCGGTTAGCGCGGTCGATGCTAATAATAAAAACACACACACACACACACACACACACCGGGTATTTGATCCGGGGAATAGGTTAGTCTCCCCCATGCCCCTCACGGGGTCCCAGTTAATGGCATTTGGAAGTGTTTGGTGTTTTCAACCGCACTGAGACTGACGTCTTTTCATTGGTCAGCAGGTTAGCGCGGTCGATGCTAATAAATAATAAAATACACACACACACACATCATGACGCCCCTCACGAGGTCCCAGATCATGGCCCTTAAGAAGCGTTGTTTGCTTTCAGCCGCACTCGGACTGATTCATTTTCGTTGGTGAGCTGGTTGCCGCGGTCGATGCTAACAAATAGACACACCCACACGGCGCGGTCGATGCTAATAGTAAACACACACACAAACACATACACACACACATCGGCAGGTGGCCGAGCGGGCGGCGGCGGTGATGCGCCGGTTAAGAAAAGAGATCTCCATCCGGCAGCGCTACTACTCCGGGGCCGACGGCCAGCCCTTCCCGCCCGGCCCGAGCGCGGTCGTGTTGGTGAGCCACGGGGATGCGCTGCAGCTGCTGCAGTGCGCCCTTGCCGGTCGGCCGGCGGAGCAGCACCGGTCGCTGCCGCACCTCGAGAACTGCGGGATTCGGGTCCTGCGGCCGCCTCCGGGGGAGGAGGGTGTGCGCGAGGCGCGGGGCGACGCGGAGGAGGATGAAGGGGGGTGTAGGGGTGTGGAGGCGGCGGCGGAGGCGTTTCGGATGACCGGCGCGCGCGTGTTCAGAGCGCCGGCGGGGGGAGAAGACGACGGGGGGGGGCGAGGGGAGGGCGGAGGAGGGGCTGATGGAGAGCGGTAGATGGGGAAGGTTCCACGAGAGTCACCCTCCTTGTTGATAGCTTGGTAGGAAGATTCTGAAGGTGAACTTTTTTTTTCGCGAAGAGCGTGATGCTGGCTGCGCGAATGTACAGCCGTGGTGTTAAGTGAATTTTTGTTTTTCTTTGAGTTAACAGTGGAAGAATACATTTTTGTCATAGAGGCCTGCCCTGGGGTGCTCTCAAGCAACTGTATTTCCTGTGAAAGATGCTACCGGCAACACGACAGACCTCCGACAACCGTTGCCCTCAAACGGTTTCATCACCTGCAATAGATTCTACTTGTACGTAGCAATCATTACGAGCTTTTTTTGGTGTGTACCCTGTGCGCGTTCGTACATTGTGTAGAGGTCGTTCATGTGCTATCGTTAGATCATTGGGGGTGGGTATGGATCAAGTGCGACCGGAAAAACAGAGAGGGCCAGAAAATTGGGGGTTCCCCTGAGTTGCGCGTGTACAGACAAGGTGGAATGAGAGATAGCCTCGGATCGCGGATGCACGCGGATGAACATTTCCTCCTCGTCGTCGGATCATGCCGAACTTCGTTCATGCTGTCAACATAGACTACAGACCACGGCTTGGGACCGGTTGCTTGGGACCGTTACAAGCACAGTCATGTCTTCAATGCACACCCGCTGGCCAATTGGCATGAGCACGTATCCTGCGGCGAGGTGGATATAGGATACGGTATTGTCACGGTTCCGTTTTTGGTGTCGTGGTGTTGTGGTGTGGTGGTGGGTTTATCTGGATACCTCCCCGGGTGTTGTTAAAAATACAGTACTTATATTACGACTTAGCAGACCACGCGCCTATGGAAGATGACAATATATAGAGCGTAGCTTGGATGATGACTGAAATTCCGCCGCGGTATAAAAACTGTCATTGTTGGAGGTAGACTTTCACCCTATGTAAATGACGTTCTGTGGAAACCCAAAACGCTTTTTCATGGGCGGGGACGCATTTTGTGACACCTCCCCGAGCGCGCACAAAGACGAGCACCCCTCAGCCTACCGGATGAGCACTGACACGGAACCGCTTGCTAGCATCGATACTACATCAAGGAATCGTTCGGCCGAAGGTTCAGCGCAATATCGTCCACGGTGAGCACAGGAGTCGTGTTTCCCCCGTCTTCAAAAATCGCTTTTCCGCGCCCAAAATCCAAGTACCCTCCCTAGCACGGCCGTGCGCTCCTTCCACACCAGTGACAGGTGTATGCCAGCCCAGCCAGGCCATCTCTGTAGGTCCCAGGGTGCATCCGGCAACAGTCCGTTTTGGAAATGGTCATGTGTACGCGAAGATATGA